AATCACCGGACCCCCCACACCCCCCCTGAGATCCGATTACCTCCGTAAATGAAGCCGGATTAGAGCTTTTAATTAAAACGATCAGGCTTTATAGGACAGGAAGTCCTCACAACTTTTCACCTCTGTCCCGTTTCACTCACAGTGTCCCTCTGATGTCATCAGCGTGAGACGAAAACCTCCAGATTTACACTTTTATACATTTGTTTTGGTGTTTGTACCAGAAGACTTCAGTCTACAGGTCCACGATGGGTTTGATGGTTGTTGTGGCGGTTTGTTAGTGTGGTGGCGGTACTTCGATGGGCGGAGCTTTAAGGCTGCTTCTGAGCAGGGGTGGGGCCAAACTCATTTTCACTGAGGGACTCATGAGCATCATGGTTGTAATTCACTTCCTGTTTCGTCTTTAACTTAGACAAAAACCTTCCTGAGCACCGCTAACAAACGCTGAGCTCTACCTGGTATTTCCTGCATAGAAACATTTTAACACGTCTTCTTATAAAAACTGAGAAGTATCACATGTACCACTGACTAAATTACCGTATTTTTCGGACTATAAGCCGCACCGGACTATAAGCCACACCCCCAACATAAAAAAAACAGTACACCCAAATTTACCTTCAAAAAAGTGAATTCAACATCAAAACATAAAAAGCAAACCTTTAGGAATTAAAGTTCGGAGGAATACGGTTCATATAACTGACCATATTTTGGTAGTTTTCTTTAACAGTTTCTGGTCCAACAAAAACGTCTCATTCATCGTCCTCCGGCGCACTGAAACATCGAAGTCCTCCTCTTCAGTGTCGGAGTTAAACAAGCTGAGAAAAGCTGCGTCACACAGCGGTATCTGTTCAGTGTCGGAGTTAAACAAGCTGAGAAAAGCTGCGTCACACAGCGGTATCTGTTCAGTGTTGCTTTCTGTGTCGCTGTCCTCCCGGGGTAATGCTGGCTCTGAAGCTGTGGTGGAAAAGCCTTCCCGCTCCAGCATACATCACTGCATGGGATTCCTTCCCCGGGGAGTGCAATGAGGAAAAAAAAGTCAGCAGCTCTTCAATCGACGTTTGTCCACAAACTTGTCCTGGATTAAGCTCCAAAGTTTTTATCAGTCAGATTCCACCATGAAAAATGTCTGTTTTATCCCCTTTTATGAGTTTTTGGCCATTGACTATCTTTAAATCGCTGCTTCCTGGTNATCTTTAAATCGCTGCTTCCTGGTACAACAGTTGGCTCTGGAAGCAATCGCTTTTTTCTTTTTTTTTTCCTTTCTTTTTTAAGCGAGTGGTTGAAGCAAATGGAGCATAAGAGCCCCCTGGTGGCTGAAGAAAAAAATCCATGTATAAGCCGCACCGGACTATAAGCCGCATGGTTCAAAGCTCAGGAAAAAAGTCGCGGCTTATAGTCCGAAAAATACGGTAATTTTTTTTTCTATTAAAAGTAAGAGTTTTAAACACTGTTGAGTTGTGGTAACTGCCATTTTGCATTACCAATTTTCCCATGGGGACCTCCCACTGGTTCAAATTTGCAAATGGGAAATTCCCACTTCCCTGTGCAACTGGACGACAGCAAAAGTAGCCTGTGAAAATGCAGTAAAAATTATATTTTACACAATGATTTTTGCTCCTTTTGGATCCTGTGGAGCTCCACCTGGTTGTGGAACGCCGTCATTTCACAGGTAAAGTAATCGGCATCGGGCGTCATAACGACACTGTTAGGTTTTCTGGTGCCTTCTTTAGTTTGGTGATACCTCAGGACGCCCTCATGGCATGGTGCTTTAGCAGAAAAGTTTTTTCCCTTCTTAAACGAGGGAGACAAGCTATTTTCTGAAGCCCGAGGAAGACACATAAAGAAGGAAGTGGGTAGCGATTTTACAGATCGTTGCTTTAATCTTGACTTTTATTTTGGTTTCTCTGTAAATTTTTGTTTACTTACATAAACTGGGTAAACTTTAGTAAACTTTGTAAGCTGGGGTGTGGGTAAAGTGTCGACGCCTTCTTCCAAAATAAACCTAAAATCATGATCTACATGCATTATGGGAAATGTAGTTTATGGTCAATACTTTGATGCTTTCGCGGGCCACATTTTGCCCACGGGCCTTAAGTTTGACTGATGTGTTCTAGAGGAAATATTTTAAAACTGAGGATTGTTTAGAAGTTTTGCACAGAACAGCTCATTTTCTTCAGTCTTGTTAATAAATAAACAGAAAACAGCTGTTTAAAGGTAACTTATTTAAATAAATAGAGTCGATGTAAAATATTAAAGAGATGATCTGAAAAAATAAATTATCTCTGACGTTCAGCTGGAACTTTCTGATTATAAAAGTAAATAAAGCCAGTAGAAGTGTCTCCGGCTCACCTGAACTCATCCACGTTGAGTCGAAGCAGGTGTGACCGCGGCGAGTTAATCGGCGTGACTCCAGGTTGTTTTGATGATCGGAGAGTCGGGCGGCGGGTAAATGTGGCGATCAGAGAGGTCGTTTCTGCTCCGGCTGCTGGTTTAATAACGACTCGTCCTGAGCGGCAAGGTCAGGCGGGTCAGAACCGGGTCGCTGATCAGGGACCGCTCTTTAAAGCGGACTGAAACCTGGACACAGAAAATAAAAACCTTATTTTTCTGGAGCTTCTGAGGCCATTTGTTCATTTAATTTCCTGTAAAAAACACAAAAAACCTTTTTTTTGTCTGTTTTTGTTGCTGAAGACAGCAGCTGCAGGAAGTCATTAACATTAAATACTGAGGCTTTATTTTTTTAATTTCAGGTGGTTTTTATTCTCCAGTTCTGCAACGGTTCTTTAAATTTCTTCAGATTTTAATCCGTTTGATAAACGAAGTTAATTTATTTGATAAAACACAAACCAGGAAGTAAATATTGTCTCTCTGACGGTTCATAACTTTCATCTAAAAGCTGCAGTCGTCTGTATTTGTTTTTTTTTTTTTTTGTATTTATTCTGATCTGCATTCAGAAGCAGTTTTTCTGTGAGTTTTGTAGCTGAAGTTGTTCAGGTGTGAAAAGAGCCTCATTTCAGGAGGTTAATGGATCGAAACGCTGAAATATGTCAAGAAAAAAAACAGACGTTTTATATTTTCAAACATCTGAAGCTTCATTTATTAAGACATTTATCAGTTTTTTCCTCCAGCAGCTCGTTCAGATTTATTTCTTGACCTTTTGGCAGCGATGATCCGAGTTTAAAGAAACGACGTCTGACGCCTCCGTGGGGATAAATAAGAACTGACGCTCCACAAAAAAAAAAAAAGAAAAGAAAACAGCTCGACATAATTCACTATTGATCCTCTCCGCTCACCGGCGGGAGCTTCATTCCGCCGCCAAGCCGGAGTGCGGAGAACTCTGAGGCGTCGGCATCGATCGGGTCGCGCCGACGAGGCTGAAATTCATTTTTGGGCGAACGTGGCAGCGGTCCGTCTGTTTTCAGTCCTCCGACATGTTGTTTTATGAGTCGGACTCATCGATCCGCCGCTGCTGAAAACACAGATGTTTGTCTCTGCAGCTGTTTGTTGGATTAATGTGAGACTTTAAACTAAAACAGGATCAAAGTTCTGCTTCTCACAGCCGCGGCGCAGCTGAGAGGAGGCGGACTTATTCAAGAAACACAGAAAAAACAAACAAACAAACGGTTCAGTTTTACCACTTCCTGTTTGGTTTGAGTCAGTCCTGAATCCGGTTCGCAGCTTCCTGTTTCGTCAGAAAACTGAATAAGGCAGATTAAACATAAAACACAGCTGAAAACAGGGATGGAACGGAGGCTAAATGAGCCAAAACTAGCAAAAAGCAAGCTAAAAGATGATGTAAAATGTTAGCTTTAAGCTAAGAGTAGCAAAAGACTGACTAAAGCAGAAAAACTTTAACTAAAAGGTAAAAGTAGCTAATGTTAGCTAACGGTTCGTGGTTACATATTGCTAGCTAAAAGCTAAACATTATCAAAAGGGTATCTAAAGGCTTAGAGTAGAAAAACATCAACTAAAAACAGCAAAAAGGTAGCTAAAATTTAAAAGCTGCAAAAGGCAGAAATAGAAGCAAAAGACCAGCTAACAACAAACATTAGCACTTTTCAGAACGTAGACTATACAAATGTAGCGACTATGTAGCAAAAGGGGTAGCTAAATGCTGAAAGAAGCTATTACAGCTAACAGCTACAAATAAAAGCCTAGCTAACAGCAAATTTGTAACTTAAAACTAAAGTAGAAAAGCAATATCTAAAAGCTTAGTGTGCCATAAAGTTAGCTAAATGCTAAAAACAACAAATTAATAAACAAAAAGTAAATAAAATCAAATTGATAAAAAAATTCTAAAGGCTAGCTAAGAGCTAAATATAGCAACTGGTAGCTAAGAACAGAAAGCAGCAAGATCCTAACTAACATTAGTAAAACCTTAGCTCAAATCTAAAAGTAGCAGAAGGCTGCCTTCTAAAAGCTTAGTGTGTCATAAAGTTAGCTAAAACCTAAAAAAGCAAATTAATAAACAAAATTGGTAATTTTTAAAAAAGCTAGCTAAAAGCTAAATGTAGCAACTGGTAGCTAAGAACACAAAGTAGCAAAATACTAGCTAAAATTAGCAATAGCTTAGCTCAAAGCTAAAAGTACCAGAAGGCTGCCTAAATGTAGCCGAAATCAAGCGCAGCCAAGAAAAGCTAAAGCATAAATGTAATAAACAGCCAAACATAGCAAAATGCTAACTCAATGCTAAATGAAGCCGAAGGTGACAAAAACAGAGCAAGTTGGTGAAACTAATTTTAAAGAAGCTGAGGGGATTTTAATGCAGTTTATGAGACAAATGTTAGTAAATAAAGTAAAATAATTTGAAACGTCACAAAAACCAGAGCGCTCATGTCCTGAATGAGCTGAAGTTTTGATTAAAGAATAGCTAAAAGTCTGCAGACGTAGAATAAAACCAGAAACAAGTGGCTCATCTTTAACCTTTTTTAACTAAAATAAATAATTCATGAGACTAAAATAAATTCTGACCATCTTCCTTTCTGACTGTCCTTCTGGAGCAGCTCCGCCTTCGGTGATCCGGTTCGTCAAACCCTCGGCTGCTCCGTCACCGGGACCGGGACCTGTATGTTCGCCGACGGTCTTAAACGTCACGGCGAGCTCAGAGACAAACTCGCCTTCTGAAGGAGACGAGGGGTCAAAGGTCAGCCCGTCCTCAGAGCCCGACCCGGACCAGGAGGCCGAACCAGAGACAGAGGAGGCGAAGGCCAGACGCCTGCTGTACTGCTCGCTCTGTAAGGTCGCCGTCAACTCCGCGTCACAGCTCGACGCTCACAACAGCGGTAAGAAGGACGACGACTCGTTTTGTGTTTTTGTTTGTTGCTTTGTTTTGTTTAAAAATTAGTCACTGGATAAATATCTACAATTCTAACTCTTGGAGCAAAAGCCATCCAAGATGGTCGCCACAGCTAATCCTACTTAGCAAACACATAAAAGGCTACAACAACCATTTTATTAAGTCTTAGACTCAAACTTGGTGTGGTAGTACCTGAGCATTATCCTTCATCCACTATCATTTTATATTTATAATTTGAGAGCCAACATCGTTTGTCTGTTAGCAAAATATCTCATGAACCGTGCTTTTTCATCCCCCGTTTTGTGAGCTGGAAAACTCAAAAAAAAAAAGAATCACCCACTTTCATTTCGTGTTGTGGCTGCATCTAGAAGTAAAAAAGCTCATCATCGAAAATTATTAATCCAAGATGGCCGCCGCTATATTTATGTAAACCAGCCACTCTGATTATTGGAGAAAAATAAGCTCCATGAAGCTCAAAACTATATTTCCTCCAGCGTTTGGGGTGGCGGAGGATTTATTTATGGTGGGCAAAGCCACCACTGGCCACCCCCCACCCCAGGTCCGCACTTGTTCCTGGGTAAAGTTGCTCCCTCAACTCACCAAATAAAAACAGTTTAACTTCTGTCCACTTTTACTGAAAACTTTAAGTTTTTACTTCATTATGTTTTTAGTTCCTGTCCAGAAAAACACAAAAACTACAAACATTCAGGGCTCAGGTCCTTCAGAGAACTGCTCGTCTGAACCAGAATCTTTGTGGAAAGTTTGATAAAAGGAACTTTGTGAGACGATTTATCTGCAGGATCCTCAACATGACAGACACAAAAACTCCTCCACAGGAAAAAAAACAACCAGCAACTCTGAGCTGCAGCAGCTCGAGCAGAAAGCCTCAGCCGAACTCAGGCTCGTCAGAACAAAGTCCTCTCAGAACCGACCAGCTGGACTTTTTTTTTTCTTCACAGCAGTGTTTTTACAGCTCATCGAAGTGTAGAAAAAAGAGCTTTTTGTTCAGTCGACCGTTTTAAATAATGCCAAGGACCGGACAGGAAGTGGTTCTGAAGTCTCTGATGTAGTCCTCTTTGTGCGGATCCAGATTAGCTTAAAGTAGCAAAAACACAAGCTAAAAAACAGAAAAGCATTAGCTAAATGTAATAAAATGGTTGCTAGAAGCTAAAAGTTGCAAAAAAAAAGATGAAAAGCAGAACAGCACGAGCTAAACACAGCAAAACATTAGCTGAATGGTATTAAATAAGTAGCCAGAAGCTATGTTGAAAAAAATTGATGACAAGTAGCAAAACACAAGCTAAAACACAGCAAAACATTAGCTAAGGCGTTAAAATGGTAGCTAGAAGCTAACAGCTGCAAACAGTTGGTTAAAAGTAACAAACTGCAAGCTAAAAACTGCACAATGTTAGCTAAATGAGATGTATTAAAATAATAGCTAAAAGCTAAAATTACAGTTAAAAGTAACAAATTGCAAGCTAAAAACAGCAAAATCTTAGCTAAATGAGATGTATGAAAGTAGTAGCTAAAAGCTAAAAGTTACAAACAGTTAAAAGTAGCAAAATGCAAACAAAAAAACAGCAAAACAGTAGTTAAATGCATTAAAATCATAGCTAGAAGCTAAAAGTTGCAAACAGTTGGTTAAAAATAGCAAAATACAAGCTAAAAAACAGCTAAACATTAGCTAAGGTATTAAAATGGTATCTAGAAGCTAGAAGTTGCAAAACACTAGTTAAAAGTAAAATGGTAGCTAGAAGTTGTAAACAGTTGGTTAAAAGTAGCAAAATGGAAGCTAAAAACAGTAAAACATTAGCTAAAATTATTAAAATATTAGCTATAAGCTAAAGGTTGCCTAAAATGTTGAGCAGCAGACAGAAAAAACAGCGAAATATTAGCTATAGGTCTTAAAATAGTAGCTAGGAGGTAAAAGATGCACATTATTGGCTAAAAATATTAGCTAAAAGTTGCAAAATATTGAGTAAAACTAGCAAAACATGAGCTAATACTAGCCAAAGCCTAAATTTGTAAAGCAGGTTGGGAAAAAGCCAGAGAGGAGTGGAATGGATGAAGTTAGAGGACAGAGGACACACAGGACAGGTGAGGACATAAAGAACAGAGACGGGGGATGAAAACTCGTGGTGGAGGCTTCCAAAAAGGGAACAGCTGAAAGAGGAAGAAAAGCTTAAAATATATATTTATTTTATCTGGACTCAAAGTTCGAACCCTAACATCTGTAATTTAAACATTCCTCTCTTCACTCTTTGATCCGGGCTGTTCCAGGATAATTTACGACCTGTTCGCTCGGGGCCTCACAGCGAGAGATCTCAGACCTTGAGGTTGCCTGTTTTTTGGTGGGAGGTCAGGTTCTGACGGGCCTCCTGTTCTGACCCACAGGTACGAAGCACAAGACCATGCTGGAGGCCCGGAGCGGCGTCGGCTCCATCAAATCTTTTCCTCGGCCCGGAGTCAAGGGCAAACTGGCTTCGACCTCCAAGTCGTCGACGGGACTGCAGAACAAAACCTTCTTCTGTGAGACGTGCGACGTGCACGTCAACTCAGAGACGCAGCTCAAACAGGTGAGACGCCACGACTAATTCTCTAAATCAAACCATTAGAAACAACAGAATAAAACCTGACTGCAGCAGGATTATTAGCAGCATTTTCTAACGTGACTTGAAGCAGAAAATCAAAGTGTTTTTCAGTGATTAGCTCTGAAATGATTGGTGTAGGAAAACCTTCCTGTTCAGGATGCCGCTCCTGTTTCCGTCACCCACGAGTTCCACTCCATGTTCCAGGACGAGAAATGATCCGGCACATTTTCAAATGGAATTCAACCGTCGTAAATTATTCACACTTGCATAACGTGTCAGAGCATCTCCCATGAAAATAAAAACAGAGAGCTGTGGGGGGTGGGGGGGCTGCTGGATACCAACGTTCACCTCCAGCTTGTCATTACATCAGCCGACGACATGAGAATATAAATCTGAGCCTGGTTTTATGGAAATGATGTTTTTGATGAGTCAGGTTCAGACAGATGCCTGATCCGTCCATGAACCGTTTAAATACGTCCAATAATAGAAGACCTTCATGTCAGGATCTGTGTTTATTGTGTGAAATCTTAAACATTTTTATTATTGGGATCTTTTTTTTTCTTCCGTACGTTTTTCGGCACGTATATTGTACCGCGTTTTCTGTGTTATTTCAAAAACTTATATATCAAAACGTTCAGCTTCTTCAGGACATTCTGACTATAACTTTTGGAATTTCAGAAATTTATACTTTTTGAGATATTTAGCTTTTTCTTCAATGTTTTTCTCATTCAAATGAATAGAGAGCTCTTTTAGCATCCTTACAGTCCTTCAAAATGTTCATAAATCTTTACTGAACTGTTTACCATTTTTTCTAGTTCTGCTTTTTTAAACTGTTGGACTAATTTCAGCTTCATTCAGCTTCTAATTTCTTGATTTTAGCTTTTTCCTTCTTTTCATTCTGACATTTTCTGATGTTCTGCTAATTTCAGCAGTTTTGGATGTTTTTAGCTACTTTTTAGCTTGTTTTAAATGTTTGTTTAGCTTTAGCTTTTTGTGGTAATTCCAGCTTTATACTGCCAATTCAGCAAATATTAGCTCTTTATGCTTCTTTCTGCTAATTTCAGCTGTTTTTTGGTGTTTTTAGCTACCTTTTTGCTTGTTTTAGTGTTTTTTTGCGTCACTTTTTTGTGATAATTCCAGCTTTATACTGCTTAATGGTTTTTTTTGCCACTTCAGTAGAAAGCAGTACTGAATATCTGAATATTAGTATCTTAGCTTCTTCATGATCAGTGGCTTTTTTAATAGATAGACAAGAAAGAAGAAGAAAGAAAGGGAAAAAGAGGGAAAGGAAAGAAAAGGTTACAATGTAATGGAAAAAAGTGAAAGAAAGTATTGATGATATGTGAGATATACGTCAAGAAAACAATACAATACATCCAACTTCTATACTGTTTAATTCAACAAGTTTTAAAGCTTTTTTCAGCTTGTTTCAGCTATTTTAGCTAGCAAAAATCGTTCAGTACTAAGCATTCACTCTGAATTTTTGCAGGAAATTTAAATTCTCTAATTCTTTATTGGTTTGTTTCTTTTATACTCAGCACAACTACAAGCTGATCAGAGCAAGTTAACCTTAGCAAAACTAAAGCTAACCCTATCAATGTAAAACTAAACCTATCATACCCACAAGCTAACCATAGCAGTCCCAACTCTAACCTTAGCTTTACTTTGCTCTAAAAACACTTGTTTTTCTGAGCTCACCTCAGTGTTTGAATTTTCATCCAGCAGCCAAAAAAAAATAAAATAAAATAAAAT